CCTAAAATATCCTCGTAAGTAAGGGTTTCGTCACCACTTGTCATTCTTACAATAGCGCTTTGTCCTACACACAAGGCATTACTTGTTATTAGCTATGGATATGACTCTCATACTTATACACAGGTCCATAGGTTCCCAATCGTCTATAATCTTGACACCCTCTCTATTTTTTTTTTTTAAATTTACCTCTCTCTCTCTCTCTCTCTCTCTCTCTCTCTCTCTCTCTCTCTCTCTCTCTCTCTCTCTCTCTCTCTCTCTCTCTCTCTCTCTCTCTCTCGCTGAATGGCTCACAGGAATCCTTTATTTGCCCTACAAACATTAAAGGATCTTTTAGTATGAAGAGCTCAGTCACTCCCTCTTTCCCAAGCAGACATACACATGACATTCATCTTCCTCTATCAGAATGCATATTGACTGGAACCTTACTGACAACATAAACCTAATCTGCATTATTCATTTACGTACGAATCACTGAACCAGAAATGAATACTAAAAGCCCACAAAAAGGCAAAAAACAGAACCAAGTTAATTCGCGGGTTTCGCTCCACAGCCTTCTTCTCATCGGGACTGCGGCGACCTACAACCCATTCTTAGGGGCTCTTGGTACCTGACCAGGATGCCCTCCTTCTAAAAAGAACCCGTTAGAATGAACCTTTTACAGTGTCATCTGCACATCTATAATTACCGTAGCCTTAAAGATAAGTGTGTCCTAAGCCCAGGGGGTCTCCATTTCCCTGTCCAGTAGCGTTATACACATGACAATGAATCACATATCAATTGGATCGCATACGTTTCATGTAAGCGATACAAAATAAGGTCTCTTGGGCAGGCCTACAAGACTATAATAAGGCCTAAATCCAAGAGCTATCTGGTAGGCATACCTGGTGAGAATAATTGCGTCTTGACCGTAGTAACTGTGCGTTTGGAACAACAATAAAGCTTCTGTTCACTGGCGTTCGGTCGACGCAGCGGAAAGGTAAACAAACCGACTCGAACGTAAAGATGAGAACGTACATTGAGCATACAGACAAACATCGACACAAATTCCTACGCAATCAGTATCAAAATATTACAATAATGAGTGAAATCCGACTGAAGTGAATATGTTACACACAAAGGCCCACCAAAGTGTGTATTTTTCAGAACATGAATGACGATAAAAACAATTTGAAAAAAAATTACGAACTTTGGTCTTGTAAACAATGGCCAACACTTAACACCTGAATATTCTGGATCACGATTAGCTTTACTCTTTTTAAAATCTTAGATATCAGATACATCTTTTCATATACACTTGAAAAATACAGGTAAGAATACACACAATCTCTGTTATATGTAGAATACAACTACATCTAAGTTAAGGTATTCTGAAGGCAGATTTCAGTGGTAAAAATACTATACTCGTGGCCTCTCGTGACCAACAATCTGAGAGCAGAGTTATAACATCAGATATATATTTTAGAGATTTACATTATCTAGAACTTTAAAGGGATAGGGCGATTTAAAACATTCAAAACGGAGAAAGGCAAAACAAGGAAAAGAAGAACAAAGATAATATAACGTGACTATAAGCACGGAGGACTGCAAACTCATGAAAAAGTTAAAAATGAATTGTTTCTGTGAATTCTACACAAACTTTTCGCTTTGAAAATGAATATGTTCAGAGTCCTTTTATCTCGTTTTCTATGAATACTCTGTTACAGAAAATGGTAAATTGAAGCGTAAACTTAAGTAAAAGTAGATTCTAGTTTGCAAACCCTCTGAATGAAGTAAATAACAAGTGTCACGTGTCACCCTTTCATGCAACATAATGCACCATATACAATTTTCCCTGTCTGAATGTATTAGTGAATATCGATCACATAACATTTTTTAGTACAATGTTAGAGGTCAACAATTAGACAAAATTTTAAGGGAGAATTTCTTTGAGGAAGGAAACAAAGAAAGAAAAGCAAAGTTATTGAAATGGAACAGAAGAGCCTTGAAGAAATAACAATCGCATATATATATATATATATATATATATATTATATATATATGTATATATTAATATATGTATATATATGTTATATCTATCTATCTATCTATATAATGTATATGTTGCATCTATCTATATCTATCTATCTATCTATCTATCTATCTAATATATGTATGTGTGTGTGTGTCTGTGTGTGTGTGTGTGTGTGTGTGTGGTGTGTGTGTGTGTGTGTGTGTGTTGTGTGTGTGTGTGTGGTGTGTGTGTTGTGTCTTTGTGTGTGTGTATGTGTGTGTATGTCTGAGTGTGTGTGTGAGTGTCTCACCGTGTATGTGTACGTGTATTGTGTGTATGTGTTTGTGTGTGTATGAGTGTAAGTGTGAGTGAGTCTACCAATAAAAATAGATGTCAATGAATAGATAAAACATGTACGTCTACTGTTAAATTCAGATCACCCTCTTGCACAATTATGTGGCTGAAGAATGATGTATGGATCAAAAAGGGCGTGAGTAGGGTCGTGAAAGGTGATACAGGATGGGGAAAAGTCAAGAGAGAGGGGAGAGGAGAGGTGAGGAGACGGAGAGAGAGGGAAGGGTGAGGAGAGGGAGAGGAGAGGGAGAGGGAGAGAGGGAGAGGAGAGGGAGAGAAGGGAAGGGGAGAGGGAGAGGAGGGAGAGGGAAGGCGAGGGAGAGGAAAAGATAGAGGAAAGGGTAAAAGTACAGAGAAAAGGGAAAAGAAAAAAAAAAGAAGAGGAGAGAGAGAAGAGAGAGAGAGAGAGAGAGAGAGAAGAGAGAGAGAGGAGAGAGAGAAGAGGAGAGAGGAAGAATGAGAAGAGAGAGAGAGAGAAGAGAGAGAGAAAGAGAGAGAGAGAAGAGAGAGAAGAGAGAGAAGAAAAGAAAGAAGAAAACGAGAGAAAGAGAGAAGAGAGAGAGAGAGAGGGAGGGAAAGGAGGAGAGGAAGAGAAGAGAGAGAGAGAGAGAGAGAGAGAGAGAGAGAGAGAGAGAAGAGAGAAGAGAGAGAGAGAGAGAGAGAGAGACAGACAGACAGACAGAGAGACAGACAGACAGACAGAGAGAGAGAGACAGAGACAGAGACAGAGAGAGACAGACAGAAAACAGACACAGACAGAGAAAGAGGAAGACACAGACACAGAGACAGAGAGATCCAAGGACCAGAAGAGCCGAGAAGCCCACAAAAGACTTTATAATCCTTCCCAAGGAGGGATTAATCCAATATTCCTGTAAGACACGAAAGTAGAGGGAGGCCTAGACGAGAGCTGGGAGGCTGCCGAGTGGATGGGAGAGAGAAGGCTCTGAGGAGGATTAGGGGGAGAGAGCAATTTTAACAGAGGATGCATATCCTATTTTGATCGGTGGATTAGAGAAGAGGAGGAGAGGAGAAGATGAGATAGAGATGAGGAGGAGGAGGAGGAGGAGAGGAGGAGAGGAGGGAGGAAGAAGAGGTGGTGGTGTGTGGTGGGGGAGGAGAGGAGAAGGAAGGAAGAGGAAGGGAAGAAAGAAGAGATGGGGAGAGGAGGAGAGAAGAGAAAGATGAGAAGGAGGAAGAAGAGGAGGGAGAAAAAGAAGAGGAACGAAAAGACGAGAAGGAGGAGGAAGAGGAGGAGACCGAGAAAGATAAGGAACACAGAGATGAAGAAGAAGAAGCGAGGGCAAACTATAAAAAACCCAACAAAAACAAAACAGAGAGCCTATGACAGAAGAGAGAGAGACCTAAGAGAGCGTGTGCCACTGCTTGACATGCTCCCTCTTTCTGGCGACCATCTGATCCCAGTGCTCCAGCGCTTTTCCCCGGGAGAACATGAACGACCCAAGCTGCACTCGACCCACTACGTTATCTGGAAGGAGGAGGATGAGTTATAACGATGATAAACGATAAACTTATAAAAAAATGATAGAATTAGAACAAGGGATGAATTTATAACAAGTGATGAGTTTATAACAAATGATGAGTTTATAACAAGTGATGAATTTATAACAAGTGATGAGTTTATAATAAGTGATGAATTTATAACAAATGATGAATTTATAACAAATAATACATATAACAAAGGATAAACTTATAACAAATAACAAAATTATAACAGATGATGAACATAACAAATGATAAACGTATAACATAATAAACATAACAAATAATAAATCTATGACAAATAGCATTATAACAAATAATAAACATAACAAATAAATAGCTTACGTTGGAGAAAATGAGATAAAAAAAGAACTATAGCCATTAACGTATTTCGAATAGAACGAAATGTAGTTTGTGTAGAAAAGAAAAGAAAAGAAAAGAAAAAAGAAGAAAAAAAATGTTTTCAAGGTAATGAAACTAATTTTTGTTTCTGATATAATTACATCCACCTTTATCTGAATTTCGAGGCAAATGTAATTTTTCTGATTCACCTCTGTGATTTATAATTATCACTATTCTTTTTAACAACGAAAAAAACAACAACTGTGCACTGGGAGAATAATTTTAGCAACGCAGTTTAGTGGAGATAATTAAAAGCATCCGTAATTATCGTACAATATCACACTATCTTGAAGGTTTAATAATGTAAGCCGATATAAACTCTCATAATCTACCTTCATTAATTGTACCAGGCATCTTATTAATAGGGTTAAAAATACGCACATGTAAGTATCTACAACACCGAGGCACTACTAATTTTTTTCTTCTAAAGATACTCTCCTTCTTGCTGACGTTATAGCGACAGTGATTCTAACTTACCAGACTTTTTACCGACAGTGACGGTAACACACACAGCAGTTGTATCCAAGGCATCTGGTGCTACCTTGAAGTTAAAACTCTCGTAGAAAGAAGGCGAGTCTGTGCCTTTTACTACACCCGTTTTCTTTGTTTTGGTCACCTGTATTATAGAAAATGGGAATTTTTAATATAGAAAATGAGGGGTGTCATTATAGAAAGCGGGAAGGAGATAGTAAGGGTAAACCTCGTTATTTTAGATGTTTTCATTACAGTGGTTCCTATATTCCCTCATGTTGAATGTTGTGATAAATGGGAGAAAAAACAAACATCTTAGCAATCATTTTCATAATAGATCTGCTAAAACGGATTTCTTTCGACTGTCGTAAGATACTAGTATAGCAAAAAATACAAAAAAAAAAAAACTTAATCCTCGAAATACTTATTTAGCTTGTTACACACACAATAATAAAACAAACTATCAACTATACCGTCTTCCCTCTTGATATACACATAGAATAATTAATGAGACGAGTCCACAATATTCTTACAATATTGCTCTTGTGTTTCTCCCTCCCCGTTTATCAACTCTTCCTATCTCCGTTTTCCTTCCCGTTTTTCTTACCTTGGTCTGCTGCATGAGAGCGATCCGGGCCTGGAACTCATTTTTGTCAGATCGGTCATCCTCTACCTGAAAAATATCGAAAATTAATATTTTTTTTCAATATCATAACTATTATATACTTAAAGCGAATTTTGAAAACATATTGTAATCCAAATTTTGCTTAGGTCTTAGAAATGATTTTAGTTTGGTCTTAAGTCTACTCTGTCTGGATTTAAAATTTAGATTAGCCTGGTATTAATTAAGATCTGACTTAGTCTGGACTTACTCTGATTTACTCTGGTCTGGTCTTCAGAGTAAACTTAAACTGGTCTTAGGGAATTACTTTAGTTTGGTCTTAAGTTTACTCAGTCCGGAATTAAGCTTAGGTAATAATATAATACTTTAGATTTAGATTACTTTAGATTTACTCTGGTCTGTCTTCAGAGTAAACTCAGACTGGTCTTAGAACTACTTAGATAGGTCTTAAGTCTTATCAGTCTGGAGTTAAGATTGAACTTGATCTGGTCTTAAGAACTGTTTGTTTAAGCCATAAGACCTCGCTTAATCTCACCGTAATACTTGTCTTAAACTGGTCTAAAGAATTTGCCTATTCTTGATTAAAGAATTTGTTCTCCATTCTTAACACAAAATTTAGTTTAGTTTTAAGAGTAGGTTTAGTCCAGCCGTGACACTTAGATAAATCTAGTCACTATAGCCAGATAAGTTTAGGTATGAATACCATTAGTGTATCTATGAGATCTTATTCTAATTACACTATTCGACTTTCCTCGGTAAATTTACAGTAATAAGAACCTACTTATAACCCCCTCCCTCCCCCCCTACTTAACCTAAAAAATAAGTTGATTTTTTCCCGAGTTCGCTTTTGTAAGTAACGTCCATAAGCTCTCAGAAAGTGTGACATTCTCCTCCTTATAAATCCAGCCTATAACATGGATACGAAACAAACGATTACTGAAGAGCGGACCAATGCTATCCCTTCACTGCAAGAACATGATCTAAGAAGGAAAAAACAAAACAAAAACAAACTTGACATTAGTGATCATTCTCTCCATGTTCAACGCTGAAGACTTACACCGCATCCAGAGAAAAAAAACACTAGAGCGAAACTAGATATAAAAAATGCTTCGAAAATATAACGAATCCAACGAAAGCAAGAGCCACATATAAAGCACCCAACACGAAGAACAACACAACAAAAAAACACAAAAAAAATTTGAGCATCCACAGCAGTCTGTCGTTCACAAACACAAGAATCCTGGAGACAAACATACTTTATATCTCTCTCATTTTACACTTAATCTCCTGAGTTCGCCCGAAAAAAAAAACAAAAAAGAAAGAAAAAAGAGAAGTTAAGAAAAAGAAAAAAAATTGAGCACAGTTCATATTCACTATGAGCAATCAAAACCAACGATAATGTCCAGAGGAGAGGAGGAGGGAAGGAGGGAGAGAGAGAGAGAGAAGGAAGAGNGGCGGGGATGAGGACCTGGTAATTATTCGCGTATGTACGCTATGAGCAACAGAAGAATCAGTTCCTGCCGAACGTGTGTTCGTGAGGGGACAGGACTAGACGGAAAAAAAAACCCCGATAGGTGACCGGCAGCAATCTTCATCTCAGGCCAGGTGGAAATTCCCAATCTCCAGGCGGTATTTCTTATCGCCAATTTCCTTTTCCTTTCGAGCCCTGGCTACATAGGCGCGGTGTTCCAAGGCGAAATAGTACATATCGGTCCTTCTCTCCTTTTTATTTCCTTGTTTTTCTGTCTTACCTCTTCGTATTTTCTTCTTTCCAAACTTATATTCCTTTTATAGGCCTTTTTGTTTCTTTTTTTCGCTTCGTTTTATTTTCCCATTTTCTGGTCTTCTTTATTCCTTCTCCTGTTCTTCGATCTGTCGTTCTCTCTTTTTTTCTCTGGTCTATTCTTCTTCTTTGTTTTTCCTCTCCCTTTCTCTTAATTCTCATATCTCCTTAATCTTCCTCTCTCCCACTTCCTCAATCCTTCGTCTTTCTCTCCCTCTATTCTATTCTCTGCCTTTCCTCTTTCTCTCCCTTCTACTCTCTATCCTCCTCTTCCATTCTTATCTCCCTTCTCTCTCTCTACCATCCCACCTCTCTATCCTATCCCTCATACTCTCTTTCCTTCTGTTCTATCCTCTTTTCCCTCCTTCTCTCCCCTCT